TTGAAGGCCATCGCTATAGTAGGTTGGAAGCCATTGCTAGTAGGTTGGAGGCCATCACTAGTAGGTTGGAAGTCATTGCTAGTAGGTTGAAGGCCATCGCTAGTAGGTTGGAGGCCATCGCTAGTAGGTTGGAGGCCATTGCTAGTAGGTTGGAGGCCATCGCTAGTAGGTTGGAAGCCATTGCTAGTAGGTTGGAGGCCGTTCCTAGTAGGTTGGAGGCCAATGCTAGTAGGTTGGAGGCCGTTCGTAGTAGGTTGGAAGCCATGGCTAGTAGGTTGAAGGCCATTGCTAGTAGGTTGGAGGCCATCGCTGGTAGGTTGGAAGCCATTGCTAGTAGGTTGAAGGCCATTGCTAGTAGGTTGGAGGCCATCGCTAGTAGGTTGGAGGCCATTGCATGGTCTTCACCAAGGTGGCGTGGCCACGCTGGCCATGGCCGAGGTGCTGCCCGAGGGTGGCCAGGTCTGCAGCGTGGAGATTGACCCGTACCTCGGTTGGAGCAGGATCGACCACCGGATCTGAGGGATGAACTCGGGCGAAAAGCCAACAGAGGTTGAAGGACCCTATAGACTATCCCATAGGTACCCCAGGAGGGTCCTATTAGGTCACTTAACCTCTCGAAAAATTGATGGATTAGGATGGTGTAGCGATGGTGGTTCTGAAAACAAGTCCTATATCGAGCTCGGGACAAATTGGTCGGGCGCGGTTTTTGGGAGGGCCTGGTGATTGAGGCTTTGGAATACTTCCCACGGGTTGAGGCGGAGGATTGAGGATGGGAGGACACCAAGTATAGGAGATAGGGCGCAACCAGTGTTGAGTCCGGTAGTGGCACAGCCCATATTAGGACCTATAGGGTAATAATATGTATATACTAATATATATATATTTAATATATAGTTTATTCTGGCACTATGATAGTGCCCACGGATTGATCAGTCACCTCGTGACCTGGTGCTTTCGTTCGCTTCACTGCTTTCACAGCAGCATTGTCATCGGTGTCATAACATTGTCATCGATTAGTCGTGTGATAATTTCATGGGGTGGGGGGTGGGGGAGGGTATGGCCCAAAGCAACCCCCCAAAAAGGCATCCCGTGTTTTCAAGCGGCACACCGTGCGTGAATCGACATCGGTTGACGGCAGGGACCCAGCAAATATAGATCGAGCGTGGCAGGAAATGAAAAACGCCGTTCCGACCCACTTGCCAAGAAAGGTCAAAGTGAAAGGCTCATCCGTGAATAACCCAGCCATTGGAAGGCGAGTCTGGCAGTTTGCTTGGTGTTCTCTCCGTTGGGGCTGAACATGTAGCAATTGCGGCCAGGGTGAATCTAGGCGTTTGGCCCATCGAATATAGACTCCAGTCATCCTGATGGTGTTAATGGACCTGAGACAAGTTTAGGGCACCGAGCTGTCATGTCGATTTGAAGCGGATGATTTTCTCTTTCGAGACGCTACATGCGTATGACATATATCATTTATCTCACTATATATATATATATATGTGTATTTCCCATGACATCAGTAAAGCGAATGGAAACACAACAAGAGGCTTCTCCGAGGAGCAAGCCATCAAGGCCCTCCAATGCTATCAAAATACAAGGACGGTACGAGGATTCAGAGCCGCATTCAGCAACAGATGCGTGGTGCAAGGCAAGCCAGGCAAGATCAGGCAAACCATGAAGTAGAGCAGAGACCGAACAGACATCGACTGGAGATCGAGAGAGAATTGAACGGTTTGCATGCAAATTGAGCACTCTTTTGGCCGATGCCGATATGTCTAATATATGTAATACATAGCATGTTATATAGCTATAATATATTTAATACCAGCACCTTCAAAGGGGTGGTTTCGCCCCAGCCCACTACTCTCAGGGATCTCCCAGCCACACCCCGAAATTGTCAGGTCGGTTATATCTCAATCCAGATATCCCAACAGAGGTGGATAGTGACCTGAACTAGGACCCGTCACCGGTACTGAAATAGGCCCCACCTCTGGTCCCTTAGGGTTCGGGTTCCCATTCCCACCTCTGGTCTACGTGGCTTTCGTTCAGACTGAGGTTTCTGGCCGACTTTGCCAAGCAGCCACTCGGTCCCTCTCGGTTCATCCGACGTCTCTACTCGTCTCGGTCCCTCTCTGACACGACTCGTTCCCGAACACGTGCAGTCGAACTATCTGGCGCGCGTATCGATGGTCGACTGGTCGACTGCATGGTGTGTGTTGGTTCTTTTTGAGTCGTCTTGTTCACGGCTTTCTTTGGGTATTTGTATTGCATATCCCAGACACTCCATGGGACTAGCATATATGCCGATCAATTGACCCCCCTGGCACCACCCCAATGTAGGTAAATATGGCATACATGGAGTGTCTGGGTATTGCATTGCATATTGCATGTTTTTGCGGACTTGGGGCAAGTGCTAGATATGTTCCCGAACGGGAAGAATTCCTTCTCATGCGAATCCAAGGTTTCGGGTTTCAAGCCCAAAACGGTGGACACCGAGCAGCTCTTCACTGAGAATCAGTTTGAGTCAAAACAGAAAATCCCTTCGAGTCAGTTTGAGTCGGGCGCCAACTCGTTGCCGCAAAGTGCTTTTCCCGCCTGTTTCCTCTCGGGTGTGTCGTGTGTCCCATGACCAGTCGGCAGATGTGCACGGAGGGGGTCAGGCCTTCACTAAGAAAACCAAGGTAATGTGTGGAAGATTGAACAAAAAAAACAGTCCTAGGCAACAACATGTCAACTTTTCCCTTTTAATTAAATGAGGTTCCGGCACTGGGATATATATATATATATACCCTAGATATCCCTAGATATATTGCGGTTTAAAGTGAGAAAGGCCTGCAACCCAAGAAAATCATCCTCCACTGGACCCTGGCAATGGGAATTAAATATGAATTAATGGGATACATATGGATCAATATACCTTACAACAGGTGTGCCTTAGAACGGCGACTGGTCGACCTCAAACTAGAAGACAGACAGGTCTTCCACCCATCTGTGGGACGGGTTCCTATCCCAAACACTCCATGGAATTGGAACAACAAACAACTGGACCCCGACTTCAACCAAAACTGAGTGGGAACAAGGTTCGCTAGTAGTAACAGGTGCTTATGCTAGTAGTAACAAGTGCCTTACTAGTAGTAACAAGAAGCTTTTATTTTAAGTATGCCAAGATGCCAGTCCCAGACAGGTCGGGTTTGAGATAGATCGACCAACCCTGGCTGTCGGGTTCCGACCTCTACGACCTCATTGGGTACTGTTCAGACCCTAGGACCCTTTTACACCGTCGACGCGAGTGGACTCGGTGTGGAAGGGGTCGGACGAGGTCGAAGCAATGGCGGTTTGGGGACCGGAGAGACGCTGGGGACGCTCCATATTGACCACCCCATTGGCCCCGACGTCCACCCCAAGGCCAGGACCCTCCTGTCGGGGTGTCCTGGCTGAACTACCCCACACTACCGGCTTCCAGACAGGGCACCCCGACAGGAGGGTCCTGGGGTATGTAAATATGCTAGTCCCATGGAGTGGTCTGGGGACCTCTTGGGCTGTGTTTCTCAGAGTCTCTGGGGCTGTGTTTCTCATCCCAGACTCCCTCCGCCCGTCTCAGGTTTTGGGCCCGGAGTCCTCATGGGTCTCGGGGCCTAACGATGCCAAGTCACGGGGGACGGGTTTGCGAACGCGTTGGCGTCGTAGCGGCGAGCGGTTTGCTTTGCGCGGCGTCCGATGGTCGATGAGTCTGCTACGCACACACGGTGTCACCACACGGTGGACGTCCAGGAGTGTCTCACTGATGTTTTCGTCAACTTGGACGTCCATACGTCCGCACTTTTGGACTTCTCACTGGTGGTTCTGAGTCCCGTCCAGTGGATGTGACAAGGGCATCCTATCCTCCTGGCACCCCTTTGCAATTCCTGGTAGAATGTTCTTGTTTTTTTCTGGGTAATTAGTAATTAGTACAAGACGCTGGAACAAGTTTGCTAGTCTGTGGTTCACTGTTGCTGGCCATCAAGTTGGCACGGCCATCAAGTTTTCGCGCAACAGCGCGGGTGGTGCTGTTACAGCGACGCTGTAACAGCATCAGCATGCTGTTTGCATGCTTTTGCTGCTTAAGACGACGTGTTTGTTGGTTTTCGTGTGGGTCGTCAATGTCTCCTTTGCGTGATGTCCTTCGGGCTTTTCTGAGGGACATGGTACGATTCTTGGGACTGCTAAATCCCAGACGCGACCCATGGGACTGCCATCTATGCCAATCAAGCCAGACCCCCCAAACCCACCATCCCAACTGATCGGCAGTCCTATGGAATACATGGAGTGTATGGGAATAGTTTATACATCAAATTGCACTGGACAACAAATTACGTTGGCAGCGGTTTGGTCGACCTCGTACAGGCTTTGACATGATGCTCTGAGGTTTGACATGAACGGCCCCTTTTCTATCCCATCTCGTCATGATTCATGAAAGACAAGAGTTGTTTCGTGAAGTGAAACCTCGATTGAATGAATTACAACAAACGTTCAGGATGCCGACCGAGTTCCTTGTTGATCTGATGAATCCGAGTTTCTCACCGCAGATACTCTCGCCTCGTTCGCGGCCGACGCCTAGGGGGAAGATCCACTCATTCATTGGAACGGCGGGGCGGCCTGCCTCGTTGGGACCCTGCAGGGCTAAACCTGGTGGACAACTGGGTGAATCAAAGAGAACCTGGTGCCTGCAGTCACAATACAGGGTGCGATCCATGGAGGTTAGGGGTGCCCAGAACATCCACTCACTTGGGGACTAAACACCACCCCTTTGTGACTCCTGGTGTGTTTTCAATTTTTTTTCAGATGAGCCAACATCCATATTAGATACAGTGTTCTTCGTGCTATGAACAAGTCCGGAAATCTAAAGTCAGACTTTGGCAAGGAGGATTTGCTCATTAGAGAAAGTATTAGGCTGGCGATTCCGGATACTCTGGTCCAAACATGTCCAAACCACAATTTCTCCCTTGGCAGGTTAAACCGCTTTATCTTTGAACATGTTGAGCAAGCCATTTGATGCCACTGTTGGCATAATTACCGGGCCAAACCCAGGATCCTAGAGCCAGTGACCACTTTGCTCGTCGCTCGCGCAAAAGAGGCCTTCCCTGGGCGCCTGGGCGGGGCACAGCACAAGAATTTCTCGTGAGGGCCTATCCCAAAGTTGTATTGGTAGCTTGTTGACTGCCCAATTGCTAAAATTATATTGAACGCACATTAAATCAAACTGAAATCCTGATATAGCCGGACTTTTTCAATCCACCAAGCACTGGTGAGGTGTGCATCAAACACTGGTGTGCCAAACAATTGGTGTCGTCAATTGGTTACCGATGGTTACCGTCCGGATTCCCTCGTGTATTTGATGAACCACATGTTTTCCTGCTCCATGGCTTTTAAGGATTCAGATAATTGTCGTTCTCCGTTGGGTGTCATGAGTCCTATACCCTGCTTGTGTTTGCTTTGTGAGGCTTTCAAATCGACCTGTCACCTGTCACCTGTCGCTCCGTTGTTTGGAACAAGTCCGTCACCTCGTGGGGTCGCTAAGGCCATGGAGTATTTGAAGGGAAATGCCCCACACGCAGGGCACCCAGTTGTTTGCAGCGCGAGGAGAGAGAGGAGAAAAAACCGACCAAAAGAGGGGCGCTGTGGTCGGCACTCCGTGCTGAAAAACGCGTTGAGTGTCAGATACACTGAATACCGAATTCCACATAAAAACAATTAAACAATATTAAACATATTTAAACATGTTTGAAACACCTTTTACACTATATTCATTGGATATACGTGTATTGTTCCATTCAAAAACAGACCCATGTTTAACCACGGGTGACGTTCACCCGCCCGTGACGGTTTTCCCGGGTTGACCGGTCCGGTCGACCAGGATGGGCCTTTTGACCTGGTCGTCATCGATGCCGACAAGGAGCGACGTCGAAACGAACGACCGGCAGATCGAACGGACCGGCTGAGTCGTCCCGATCGGGTTTTGGGGGAAGTTGATCGGTTCGTGAGTTGCAAGCCAGGTTTCGCGTGGGTAAACAGAGGACATGAAGGGTGCATGTGTGAACAACATACACCCAAGCCATGGGTTTCCAAGCCATTGGGAAACCTCTCAAAGCAATTCTGAGATGGTCAGAGGAGTTCGTTGGAACTGTTTAACTTCTATTATAGAAGTTATCTCAGAGTTGATGGTGTTCATCACCTGTTCGTTCGGTTTTTACATGTTTTTACCGCTCCTTGTGGGTAATCTGGACGGAAGACCAAGGGGAAGAAGGCCCAAGGATTCAGGTGATGGACATCGGGAAGGACGACACATCGGACGAGGTGGTTTCATTTCGTAGAGCATGGTGCTTTTGAGTAGAGCATAGAGCATGGTCTTTGCTTTTGTTTTTTCAAGGAAGGTCCTTTTACCATGGAAGTTTGATGAAGTTATTGTGAACAGGATAGGGATGGAAGGTCGGTAGTATGGTCGGTATGTTTCAGTGTCAGATATGCACGTGTCTCCGAATGTCAGACTCAGTTTGGTTCTCTTTGAAACTTGATCGTCAGGATGGCATTTGGGAGTACTACTGCAAGTTGAAGCAGGCAAGTCGTTCACTACGGACACCGGTTAAAGAGCCCAGAGGCTGCCGAGGGTTCAAAATCGCTGGATGCAATCCGCTCGCAGCCCCTTGATATGGCGCCTGTTTTGCTTTAGGGTGTTTTTTTAAACAGTGGTTTCGGAATAGATGGCACAGACTTCAAGATGTCTTTTATATGCAGGTCATATCATATAAACCACCGAACTTGGGGATTGTGCCATTACTATCTACACTGAAACCACCAACGTGTCATTCAATGTGTCATTTAGAGAATATCTAGGGTCTGTCCTAATACCTGTAACAGTCAGTAAACCTAGAGGCCTTTACTAACCATCATCATCCACTGTCTAATAGGATAGACCCAGCGTATTTCTTATTTGGCCCTTTAGGGGCCACACTACTTGCTATGGATCTCACTGCGTTCAAATTGACGGTGCGCAACTTGTTCGGCCTGCCTCGCTGTAGACCGGGAGCTGATGATGGACCACAAAACAGACAAAGAATCAAGGGTTGTTGACATCCCCTGTATTTTTCCTCATAAACCCCCGAAGTTGTTGTCCTCCAAAGATTCACTTTGCCTGCAGCTAAAACTACGTTGAGGTTCTGTGGATTTCAGCGAAATTCTATGTCAGGCTTGTCGAATGCAGTAGATCAACCCTCTTTTAACTAACTCTTCAACTTTGAAGTTTGTCCGACGGTGTCCCTTCGACTTCAACAGATGGTCGGGTGGTCGCAAGATTCAGTCGGATTCATCCGGGGCCATCCGGCCCCATTTGGAACAATACAGTGGAAAGATTTTGAACAGATTGTCATCAACAAGCCACCAGATGATATTTCAATCTGACAAATTGTCTCGCATGTATTGAAAATTATTGAAACATTATTTTGGTATTACTTCTGGCATATTTGCTGATATTCTTTCTGACCTTTTTTTTTGGAACACTTTCTGACATTCTTTCTGGCATCTCTTCTGACATGCTTTCTGGCATATTTTCTGACATTCGATTGTATCTGGCATACTTTCTGACATTCTTTCTTGCATCTCTTCATCTCTTCTGACATTCATTCTAGCATTCCACCAGATATCTGCTGACATTATTTCTGACATATCTTCTGACATTTGTTCTGACATGCGGCATATCTTCTGACATTCTTTCTGACATATCTTCGGACTTTCTTTCTGGTGTATCTTCTGACTTTCTCTCTGTCATATCTTCTGACAGTCTTTCTGTCATATCTTCTGACATATTTACGTACATTCTTTCTGGCATATATATCTTTTGACATTCATTCTCGCATTCTATCGATTCTATCTGGCATATCTTCCGATATTCTTTCTGACACTCTTGCTGGCATATCTTCTTTTCTTTCCGACATGTTGTCTGCCTGTCTTTTGACATTCTTTCTGACACTCTCTCTGGAATATCGACACTCTTTCTGACGTTCTATCTGGCATTTTTTCTGACTCGGTTGAGGTCCGGCGGGGAACACTCCCAGCTGATCCTCGCGGTTGAGGTCCGGCAGGGAACACTGCCAGCCGAAGCTCGCGGTTTAGGTCCGACGGCGAACACTGCCCGCCGAAGCTCGCGGTTGAGGTCTGGAGGAGGACGAGGAGGGCAGCTGACGTAAAATCTAACAACCCTCACCTGACAGGTGGGGAAAAACACATATTGTATTAATTACAGATACTCTATTAAGTCCATGTATCGTATATGTACATGATTGTACATGTATATACAAGTAAATACTATGACATAATCATCGACGGTATATTTGTAATTCCGACTATATATGTCTACTGCTTTGTAAATATCACGGTGGTATGCCGTATCATTTCAAACCATCTTCAACAAGAACCCAGTTATTCTTGACTCCATGCGATCCATGCATGTTTTTTGATCCGCCGTCGGAGTCAAAGCACCGCCTCCTGTCTCCAGGGACTTTTGGCTCCGAAGGCCATCGTGGTCGTGGACACCACGCCACATAAGGCCATGAGTCGCTTCGTTCGGGGCGGTGGGCGGTGGTAACCTTCAGTAACCTTCAGTCGACCCAAAAGTAAGGCGCAGCTGGGTCAATGAGGAACAGTGGGCGGTTGTGGGTTTTTCTGCAGGTGGCGCGTCTGCATTGGGGCTGAAGGAGCCATTTGTTTGCCTGAATTTACTGAGGGTGATTTGTATTTTCCCTAT